ACCACTCCCGCCACGCAGCACCCCTGGCGGCCCGTCTGCGTGCCGACCCGCCCATAGATGAAGTGCCTGATCTTCGCTCCACAGGAATAGGGCGGGGAGGGAACACGTCTCGCTGTCGAAAGGGTGGTGCAGCGAGGGGGCAATGAGCCTGGCTGGCGCCACTGTGGCGCGCCCCACAGCCAGGCCAGAAGTTCTCAGGCGTCATGGCGCCCGCAAGGCCCGCTCCTCGCGAGCCTTGCGGCGCTCTTTGCTGATGGCGGCCTCCGCCCTCATCTGGTCTGCGATGTACTCCAGCAACTTCGGCGAGATGCAGAGATTGGCCTTGGTGACACCTGCGCCGAGGAAGTAGCTGGTCTCAGGTGAGCTGGAAGCCCCAGCTGAGGCGCCGCCTCTGGCCGAGGCCTTGGCCTTGGGGGCTGCGCCACTCGGAGGTGGCGATCGCGTCTCGTACACCCGCTCCTCCAGGAGCTGGAGTTGGCGAGCGATGATCTCGAACGATGCCATCTCGGCGATCTGCAGCTGATCGTGCACTACGGCGAGGTCCAGGACGCGGCAGAGCGTCTCGTGCAGCTTGGCGTGCTCGTCCTCGTCGGGCAGGGCCATCGACGTGAGCCACCTCTGGTGCCACGCGGTGGGCGTACCCGCCATCGTCGACATGAAGGACAAACACCAGAGGAGGGCCCTCGGCCCTTGCACGGGCCAGCCCTGCACAAGGGTCTCCGAGAGGGCGTTGACGGTCTCTCCGAACCTCCTCTCGCGCTCGCCCCTCGGGTTGAGCAGCATCGGGAGGACCCTGAAGTCGCCGACGGGGGCAGGCGCCCCAGGGGCGGCGGTGGCGGGCGCAGCCTCCAGAGCAAAAGCAGGCACCAGCGGCAGAGCCTCAGCAGGCCCAGGCGGGACGGCCCCCAGCGCGGCGGCCAGCGCAGCGACGCCAGGGGCCACGCCGAGAGGGGCCGCCGCAGCGGCCGCGGCCGCGGGGGGCATCGCCAGCGGGGCCGCGGCCCCCGCAGGCAGCGCCGCCCCTTCCCAGCCAGGCGGTGGCGGCAGGGCCGCAGGCGGCGGGGCTGCGGCAGCCGCAGGGTCCGCCAGCGGGAAGGGACCAGGCGGGACGCCTACGACGTTGCCCGCCGCGAGCGCCAGCGGCAGAGGGTCGGGGGGCGTCGGGTAGCCTGCGGCCACCGAGCGCGCGACAGCCGCCCACAGCTCCGGGGCCGTCGGAAGGCGGCGGAAGCGGTGCACCGCGACGCCCGCCAGCGCTGGCGGCGTGTCGCCTTGGCCCGCGAGCTGCAGGACCGCTCGCACGTCGGGGCCGACGACGATGGGCTCGTCGTAGTCGTCGAAGTCGGGCGTGAGGATGTAGCCGAGGCCCCCGTTGACGCCAAGCAAGAGGCGCTCGTGCCACAGGGGTACGCCGCCGACGCGGTATCGCAGCACGTGGAAGCTGCCCGCCATCACTGCAGCGCAGGTGCGCGGGCTCTGGCGTCACGAACCTGCTGAGCCGCGAGGGCGGCGATGTCGATGCCGTCCACGAACTTCACCACGGCGGGCGGCTGGCGGGCCGACGGTCCGAGAAGCCGCCGCGCCGCCCAGGCGCCTCCCACGGCCCCGAAAGCGAGGCCGATGGTCAGCGCGGCCACCGAGTAGGCCGTGACGAGGCCCAGACACGAGGGCTCGACCACGCGCCCGCCCGCGCCAGCGCAGACGCAGGCGGGGCAGGAGAGGGTCGGAGGCGCGGGGCAGGCCAGGTGCGGCGAGCAGGCTCCGCAGCTCGGCGCGGCGGCCCGCGCCACGACAGTGGCCCCCAACGCCTGCGCCCCGTACCTCAGGACGTCCGCCGCATGGTGGGCGATGTCTTGCATCACTGGGCAAGACACCCGAGAGACTTGAGAATGGAAGCGCGGCCCGAAAGAGAGCCACAAATAGCCGCGAGCAGCATGATGATGATGATGATGATGATGATGATGATGATGATGATGATGATGATGATGATGATGATGATGATGATGATGATGATGATGATGATGATGATGATGATGATGATGATGATGATGATGATGATGAGGCGGAGGAGGAAGAGGCGGAGGCGAGGGCGGCCACTGTCGACACGAGCGTCCGCATTGTTTTGTTCGCTCCACGCTCCAGCTCCTCCGAATCATCTGTCCAGCGGCCGCAGCATCGAGGCCTCGCGGGGGAGGAGGGCGGACATAAGGAGGAGGAGAAGAAAGAGGTGGATGGAAAAGTAGAGTTGTTTTTGTCCTACCCATCCCAGGCGCCAACACACTCGGAGTCCATCCCGAGGGCAGAGTGCACAGACAGGAGCAAACACTTGCCGAGACCCAGGAGGAGTCTCAGAGAGTGCACGCCCCACCCGCATGGGGGACGGGGGGAGATGAGGAGGAGGGGGAGGAGGAGGAGGAGGAGGAGGAGGAGGAGGAGGAGGAGGAGGAGGAGGAGGAGGAGGGGGAGGAGGAGGAGGGGGAGGAGGAGCAGGAGGCGGAGA